TCAGCAGCTACACAGAGCTGAGGGGAGCAAGGCAGGGGGCACCCACAAACTCAGGCCAGGTCCTGCAGGGAAGAGACTGGTGGGCCCAAGAAGCCTCCTTGGGCTGGGGTCACAGGAAGGGCCACGTGAGCTGTGTGCGTGTGCACCAGGGGTTACTGCAGGATCACCTGGACAAGGTACTGGCAGATGCTCCCAGGAGACACAGACAAGTGTATACATACCCAGTGCCAAACTTAGTTACTCACAGGCACAGGCAGTCACACACACACACACACACACACACACACACACACACCCATCTATACACACACCCTAATATGGTTCCAATTCAGTTATGCAATTTACTAAATTTGTATCTTTGTACAAGTTATTTAGCTTCTTTGTTTCTTAATTTTTCCATCTACGAAATGGGGGCAATGATCATGTCCCTTTTCATAGATCTGCTGTGAGCATTGAATGATAATTAGCTGTAAAGTGCCCAGAAGAATGCCTGACACACAGCAAATGCTTAGTAAATGCTCTCTGGCACAGATCCGGACACAGCCTCAAATCATACCATCCTTTGAATCATATGGCTCCCTAGACTACAATTTTGGCCGGGCCCAGGGCACAGAGCAATCAGCTGGTCAGGACTCACGAGGAGACTTGCTAACTTCTCCTCTGTGTCAGGTTTAGTGGCATCCATCCTCTCCCTCAGGCCTCTGGACAGTCCCCTGTGGTCCTCAATGGTCCTTTAGGGTCCTGAGTGGATCATCATTTTACAGATGAAGAAACTGAGAATCAAAAGAGAGAGTACCTTGTCTAAGGCCACACAATGACAGAGCCAGACTCATACCTAAGTCCACTGGCCTCTAAGTTATCCTTCCCTCTCCAGAATGTGCCCTCATGTCTAGAACAAGCTTTGTCTAAAGTCATCACCCGGGATGCCTGGGCGGCTCAGTGGTTGGGTGTCTGCCTTCGACACAGGGTATGATCCTGGTCCAGGGATCAAGACCCATGTCAGGCTCCCTGTGAGGGGCCTGCTTCTCCCTCTGCCTATGTCTCTGCCTCTCTTTCTGTGTCTCTCATGAATAAATAAATAAAATCTTTAAAAAATAAAAAAATAAATAAAGTCATCATCCAAAGACTGGGAGGAATCTGACTCAGTGTGATTGACCAAGCCCCTGTCAGGCTCTCTGTGACCCTCGTACGAAACAGGAGTGAAGCTCCTGGCCCTTTCTAGCCTCACAGAGCTTCACCCCAAGTCAGTCCTCAGGAGTCCTCAGGACCTCATTCCTGCAGGGTACCCCTAGGCCCCCATGGGGCCTGCTGAAGGCACTCCTGCGTCTAAGGCTGGACGTGGAGAGTGGCACTGTAAATGCCATGGCCAGAGTTTTGGGAATGGGATAGCATTGCAGGCAGCAGCAAGAGGGCCTGAAGGTATCCCTGGCCTTTGGAGTCAGGGGTGGGATGGTACTATGTTAGGGCGACCTGAAAAATACAGGTGGGCAGTGGGAATTCCTCGATCTTCTCCCAACTGGACCAGGCATTCAGTGATAGCAGGCTCAGGTCCAAGCTTCTCAATAAAGCAATTGAAGAAAAAGGGAAAGCTGGTATGAAACAGACTGATAAAACCAATATTTTGGCCAGATTTGGATCAACCAGAACTCCCGTGCATTTTTTTTAATTTTTTTAAAATTTTTATTTATTTATGATAGTCACATTGAATGAGAGAGAGAGAGGCAGAGACACAGGCAGAGGGAGAAGCAGGCTCCATGCACCGGGAGCCCGACGTGGGATTCGATCCCGGGTCTCCAGGATCGCGCCCTGGGCCAAAGGCAGGCGCCAAACCGCTGCGCCACCCAGGGATCCCCCAGAACTCCCGTGCATTGCTGGTGGGAGTGTAAACTGGTACGACCTCTTTGGAAACTGCTTGGCATTATCTGCTCGAGTTGAGAGCCACAACACTGTGACTCAGCAATTCCACATCCCTCCACGAATTCCGCTTGGTAGACATATACTGAATGAATGTGTCCGTATGTTCACCACGGGAGACATGTCGTGGTGTAGTCACAGGATGAAATCCTCTGCAACAATGAAATCGAGAAGAGCACTTGACAAGATCAGCACTGGGAATTATACTATATGTTGGCAAATTGAATTTAAAACAAACAAACAGGGATCCCTGGGTGGCGCAGTGGTTTGGCGCCTGCCTTTGGCCCAGGGCGCAATCCTGGAGACCCGGGATCGAATCCCACGTGGAGCTCCCGGTGCATGGAGCCTGCTTCTCCCTCTGCCTATGTCTCTGTCTCTGTCTCTCTCTCTGTGTGACTATCATAAATAAATAAAAATTTAAAAAAATAAATAAAACAAACAAAAACCAAAGAGATCGAACCATCCGCGGCTACACAGGACACCATGGATGCGTTTCACTGACATGATGTGGACTGAAAGTAGCCTGACGCAAGAGCGCATGTGCTGTCGGTTACACTCGCCTACCCCTACCCCTGGCCCGTAGGCTTCCTCGGTGCTATTCATCTTTGAGTCCTTGCTAGCCAGAAGGTCCTGGAGATTTCTTAATGGTGCCATCCTGATGGACACACACTCCCTCTGGGTCTGCAGCTACTACCTTTGGTGCTGTTTGGAATAGAGAAGGGTACCCCTCCCCCCCTTTGATAGACCCTGGTGAGGGTCATCGCTGACCTGCTTGAGCACAGGATCTCAGAACAGTAAAATGATTCTTCTACCCAGGAAGGTACCCTTTCCTGCCTCCTATGGGTGGGAAGTCATGTCAGAACCCTGGCGGGACAGTAACTTCTTGCAAGATACATCCACGAAGGCAAAAGAAACAAAAGCAAAAATGAACTATTGGGACTTCATCAAGATAAGAAGCTTTTGCACAGCAAAGGATACAGTCAACAAAACTACAAGACAACCTACAGAATGGGAGAAGATATTTGCAAATGACACATCAGATAAAGGGCTAGTTTCCAAGATCTATAAAGAACTTATTAAACTCAACAGCAAAGAAACAAACAATCCAATCATGAAATGGGCAAAAGACATGAAGAGAAATCTCACAGAGGAAGACATAGACATGGCCAACAGGCACACAAGAAAATGCTCTGCATCACTTGCCATCGGGGAAATACAAATCAAAACCACAATGAGATACCACCTCACACCAGTGAGAATGGGGAAAATTAACAAGGCAGGAAACAACAAATGTTGGAGAGGATGTGGAGAAAAGGGAACCCTCTTACACTGTTGGTGGGAATGTGACCTGGTGCAGCCACTCTGGAAAACTGTGTGGAGGTTCCTCAAAGAGTTAAAAATAGACCTGCCATACGACCCAGCAATTGCACTGCTGGGGATTTACCCCAAAGATTCAGATGCAATGAAACGCCGGGACACCTGCACCCCGATGTTTCTAGCAGCAATGTCCACAATAGCCAAACTGTGGAAGGAGCCTCGGTGTCCATCGAAAGATGATGGATAAAGAAGATGTGGTCTATGTATACACTGGAATATTCCTCAGCCATTAGAAACGACAAATACCCACCATTTGCTTCAACGTGGATGGAACTGGAGGGTATTATGCTGAGTGAAGTAAGTCAATCGGAGAAGGACAAACAGTGTATGTTCTCATTCATTTGGGGAATATAAATAATAGTGAAAGGGAATATAAGGGAAGGGAGAAGAAATGTGTGGGAAGTATCAGAGAGGGAGACAGAACATAAAGACTCCTAACTCTGAGAAACGAACTAGGGGTGGTGGAAGGGGAGGAGGGCGGGGGTGGGGGTGAATGGGTGACGGGCACTGAGGGGGACACTGACGGGATGAGCACTGGGTGTTATTCTGTATGTTGGTAAATTGAACACCAATAAAAAATTAATTTATTTAAAAAAAAAAGAAAATAGATGCAGGTGAGGAAGACACCCATCAATGTCTTCTTAGGAGTCTCCTTCTTCATTCTTCCTGTGGGTTTTCATAGGTTCGCTTCCCCAAAGCTCCCAGAGCTTTGGGAAGGAATCAGAAATGCCACTACCTATGCTCCTGCATAACAGCCAAAGGACTACTATCTGGAAGGTGGGCAGACCCTAAGGAGGGAAGTGGACCAATGACTGCCTCTCGGTCAGGGTTTGAACAATTCACTAAAAAGAGTGCACTATGTGGCCATAAGTGGGCCAGGGATCCATTCTGGGCCTCAGTTTCCAAACCCATATAATGAAGTAATTGGCCCAGATGGTGTTTAAGGCACTGATAATGCTGTTCTTGGCTCTCTCATAGGAGGAGGTGCTCACTGGTGTGCCCCAGGACCTTCTGGAGAACTGGGTTCTCCCAAAAGTGTGCGAGGAGCAGTTCATTTTTTCTTTCTCTGTTATATACACACACACCATCCTCAATGAACCCTGAGCTCTTGCTTCTCACTTGGGGCTTGAACCCAAGAACAAGCCCACATGGCATATCCAAGCCTTCCCTGCAGAAGGGGTTTCAAGATGTGGAGGTCACAGGCTCATATTCAGTTTTAATGTTCCAGAATTTATTGCAACCTCTAGCAGGGCTCAAATACTGAGTCGCATCTGCATGTTGAGATAATGACTGCCCTTTGCTGCCCTGAGCTTGGGAAATTACCCAGGACAAATGCATTTATTTACTCAGACCATTGAGTAACCAAACCCACTGTCCTGAATATTCAATGGCAATCATCAACAATCAGTTGATAAACATTGGGGTTAGAAAAATGTCTACCTGAGATGCCTGGGTGGTTCAGCGGTTGAGCGTCTGCCTTCAGCTCAGGGTATGATCCCGGAGTGCTGGGATCGAGTCCCACATCGGGCTCCCTGCATGGAGCCTGCTTTTCTCTCTGCCTATGTCTCTGACTCTCTCTATGTGTCTCTCATGAATAAATAAATGATATCATTTTTTAAAAAAGAAAAATGTCTACTATGAGTACCTGGGTGTCAGTTGATATTAAAAAAAGTACAACCGGAGGCAGTGGCAACGGCGGCAATGAGAGGATGAACAACAAGTTCGACTCATTGAAAGATGATGACAGTGGGGACCATGATCAGAATGAAGAAAACAGCACACAGAAAGATGGTGAGAAGGAAAAAATGGAACAAGACCAAAGTCAGGGCAGCAGTAAGAGGAAGGCTGTTGTCCCTGGGCCAGGAGAGCATCCCCTGTAGTACAACTCTACTTTCTGGTCTCCAGAAGAACCCCCGGTCATCCCACCAGCTCACACAGCTATGAACAAAATATCAAATAGACGGGCACCTTTGCCTCTATGGTGCAGTTCTGGAGGTTTTATAGCCACATGGAATGTCCCGGGGACCTGACAGGCCACAGTGACTTCCATCTCTTCAAAGAAGGAATTAAACCCACGTGGGAGGATGATGCAAATAAAAATGGTGGCAAGGGGATTATTCAACTGCAGAAGGGCTTGGCGTCCCATTGCTTGGAGAATCTTATCCTGGCCATGTTGGGGGAACAGTTCATGGTTGGGGAGGAGATCTGTGGGGCTGTGGTCTCTGTCCTGTTGCAGGAGGACATTATTTCAATATGGAATAAGACTGCCAGTGACCAAGCAACCACAGCCCGCCTCTGGGATACGCTTCAGCGAGTGCTTCACCTACCTCCCAACACCATTATGGAGTACAAACCCCACACCGACAGCATCAAAATGCCAGGCAGGCTGGGCCCCCAAAGGCTCCTTTTTCAAAACCTCTGGAAGCCGAGGTTGAATGTGCCATGACCCTCTCCCTCTCTGGATGGCACCATCATTGAAGCATTGTCGGAGTCTCTTGTTCTGTTGGTGTGCTACCTGGAAGATCCTTCTGTCCTGGACAAGAGGAATTGGAAGAGCATTTTATGTTTTAAGAACAGGCTGATACACAGCAGCTACAGCAACAGCTGAGATCACTTAATAAATGGTGCAAAACTAAAAAAAAATTAAAAAGTATAACCACTGGGGCACATGGGTGGCTCAGTTGGTGGAGCGTCTAACTCTTGATTTCAGCTCAAGTCAAGACCTTGGGGTTGTGAGATCAAGTCCTGCATTGGGCTCCACTCTGACCTCTGTGCTGTGTGGAGCCTGCTTAAGATTCTCTCACTCCCTTTCCCTCTGTCCCTCCTCCATCATACACACTCACAGGTGCTCTCTCTCTCTCTCTCTCTCTCTTTCTTGCTAAAAAAAAGGGAGGGGGCATGCCTGAGTGGCTCAGTTGGTTGAGTGACCAACTCTTGTTTTCAGCTCAGGTCATGATCTCAGGATCATGAGACCAGGCACTGCCAAGGGCTCTGCACTTAGTGCAGAGTCTGCTTAAGATTCTCTCTTCCTCTGCCTCTTGCCCCACTCACAGGCATGTGTTCTCTCTCTCTCTCTCTCTCTCAAATAAATGAATAAATCTTAAAAAAAAAAGTAATGTTAAAATAACAACTACCACCCTAAGTGTCTAAATGTTGAGAACAGAGTATCCACTGTTACAACATGAATGGTTGTTTCTAGAACGCTGGGGTGTAGTCATTAGAACAATGACCAGGACTGAGAGAAGCCCAGACATTATGAACACTCTGTGATTGTTATTTGGAATCCCATGGATCAGGTGACAGAACATGGGATGGCCATTACCAGAGCTTCCAGGATCAGGGGTTTAGAGACTCGGGAGTCCATTGCATAGAAGTCTTGGTGTCAGTTGTTGGAACACTGGCCATGAGCTGTCAGCTAATAGCTGCTTGGAACACAGAGTGTCAGGTGTGAGAATCTGTGGATGGCTTAGAACAGACTGTGGGGTGATAGTTAAGAAGGGAAGAAGACTAGCGACTAGTTTGGACAATAGATAGTTTGGGGCCAAAGCAACAAGGGGACAAGTGGAGAATGGAGCAGAATAGGCAGACAGGGTTTCCTGGAGCTAGTCAGATGTTCCTAGCCCCAACTATTGAGAAAAGACCCCGCAGGCTGGGCCAGCAGGGAGAAAAGGTGATGTGGCCCAAGAGCCCAGCTCCACTAATGTCCACATGCATGCCAGGACTCAGATAAATCCTCATCCATCCCTGCCCCTGGGGAGCGCATGGTTGCTGGGGGGGGGGGGAACAATTGGAATCACTCCAACCCAGTGCTATAGTCAATATGGATAGAGCTTTGGGGAGCACAGATGCGAAGTGCCCAGCACAGGGGGCACCACTTGAGCCGAGTCTTAAACATGAGTAGGAGTTTGCCAGGCAGAGGAGAAAGCATTCCGCAGAGGGGACAGAAGCAAAGGGGCTTAGAGGTGGAAGGCAAGGGTCCGTGTGTATCTGGAGAAAAGGGTGGCCGGAAGACTAGATGGAGAGGGCCTGGGTCAGTGTGGGTGAATCTGCACCTCATCCTGAGCACAGGGGGGCCCAGGAAGTTTTTAATGAGGGAAGTGCCATGGTCAGGGTTTTGTTTTCTATCAATCCTGTGTGGAGGATGTTAGAAGGGATGCAAAGAGGCTGGGGCAGTGTCGCGGCCAAAGGTAGCCATGGCCTTGGCAGGGCAGCAGCTCTGGGAGGAGGCGAAGGCATATTTCGGAGCTGTCTGGGAGGCAGAACAGAGACTGAGGCTAGAGAGGGGGCATGAAAGACAGGGAGGTGCCCAGGCACCAGGTTTCTGGCTTGGCAGCACCAACAGTCTCCGACAGGAGCAGGAAACCTCTCCCCACGCAGGGGAGATCCCGGGGAGGCCACGTTGCCTCCTGCCCCTGTACCCCAACGCTGGTGGAAGCCACTTGGACACAGAGAGACACACGCACACACGCGCGCACACACACGCTACCTAAATTTTGCATTTGATTCTATTCCCTCAACTGCGGAACGTGGGTTTGCAACCCTCTCGCCTCTCTGGCCACCACATGGGGCCCAAACTCCTGTCTCTCAGGAGGCCTGAGGCCGGCCGCCTTCCAGGAGCGCGCCGAGTCTGCACCTGACAGTCACGCGCCAGCGCGCACGCGCGGGGACGGGGACGCTCCGCGGCCGGAGAGCCCCCGCCCCCCCCCCACCGTCTGGCTCCCGGGGGGCCTTCCTCGCCGCCCCGCTTCCCTCCGCTTCCACGTACCACGCCTCCGACTGGCCGCCAGCGAGAAAGTGGTGCTGGTGCTTCCGCAGCCCAGGCCGGGCCTCCTGGGCCTCCTGGGGGGGAGGGGGGGCACCGCCGGACTTGGGGACCAGAGGAAGGAAGGGGGGGCGGGAGAGGGGGCTCTGGGCGTGGCGCGGGGGCGGGCCGGGGCCTAATTTCGCCGGGAAGGGGCGGACGCTCCAAACTGCCCCAAGGGAGAGGGACCTAGGTCCCGGGAAAGGGGTGCGATCCCGAGACCCGCGGGAAGAGGCGGGGCCAGGGAGAACCGGGCAGGAGCCCTGGGCAGCCAGACGCTCCCCGATTATAAGCCCCGCGCACCCAGCACCGGCCGCAGCCAGGCCCGCGCGAACTGGGCGGCTCAGCGCCGGGTACAAAAAACACCGCAGCCTTCGGTGGAGACCCAGGCTGTGTGACCCTGTTTGGCCTCTCTTCGGGGACCCTGTGTATCTCGGGTCTAGAGGGGGCGGTGCCCGGGGAGACCTCGCACAGACTCACGAGTTCATCCACCACTGCACAAAAACATGTGCAGATGAGCATGGACGGAAACATGCAGGCCCACAGACCCACGCTCACCCCTGCCAAGGGTACCATCCGTCCAGGGGTGGCACTGAAGAGAAAACCAAGCCAGTCCCAGAGAGAGGACAATGCTGAGAGTAAGGATGCTCAGCCTATCCGTAGTGGGCCAGAAAGATCACCCAGCACCTCCTACCTTCCTACCTCCCTCCAAAGCTCTATCCCCTGAACAGAGTGCATCATCTGCCCTGTGGTCAAGGCTGGGGCCACAGACCAGGCCTTGGAGACTGGGGGGCAACCACTGACCTGGAGTGTACCTGGAGTGTGGGCATAAAGTCAGGTACCTGCTGAGGGACACGTTTGGGAGGTGAGCTGGGACCATGTCACACAGGCCTTCACCTGCCACAGTAATAATACTGAACCGCTTGAACACTTTCTGTGTGCCAGACACTCTACTAAGCACTCTATATGTGTTCATTCATTTAATTCCCTCAATAATCCAGTTCTACAAAAAAAAAAAAAATATCTCCATTCTGCAGATGAAGAAATTGAGGACAGAAAAGTTAAACAGCTCTATTCAAAATACACTGGAGAGCAGGGGAGGATTTGAAGCAGAGAAGGGACACAGCCAGATGTGCATTTAAAGAGATGGCTCGGTGTGTTGGAACCGGTTAGAAAGAAATAGGAGCAGAGGCCTGGAGGCCAGCCAGGAGGCGAGGTGGGGTATAGCCCTAAGGAAATGATGAGGACTGGCTCTGAAACAGAGGCAGGAAGGATGAATGGTAGGTAGCTGCAGAGGGATGCAGGAGGCCAGGTAGACAGGACTGGGGCACCTGGGTAGAAGGGTGTGTGTGGGGTGATAGGAAAGGGCCCTGTGGCTGGGTGGATAGTATGGGGTGAGGGATGCCACCCAGATGGGAAGCAATTGGAACATATTTGGGGTGCATGAAGGCTGAAGTGCCCAAGAGACAGGATGAAGAGTCCCAGTGATAGTGGCTCCCCCAACTTGGGCAGCAGAGAAAGCTACAAGTTGTGAATACAGGTAACAAGGACTGTGGGAACCATAGGGTCCCCCACTTCTAGCCCAGCAGCAGAGAGAGACCCTTTCCTACACTAGCAGAACCCCTCCCACAACCCCAGATCCCCTCTAGAACCACTGGGGCCCACTATGTGGACTGGGATATGGGGACCCAGAGGCACGAAGGCACTGGTTCTAGGTCTAGGATTCCAACCCAGGACTCTTGATTCCTTCCCAGCTGCCTGCACTCTTTGGGCCCCTTCACACTGCCAAGCCCTGGCCAGATAATCATTCAAAACTGTCTAAGTGACTTCTACTTAAACCTCTCATGGGTGCCACACTCTCCACCCCTGCTAGATGATGTCACCCCTAGCCTGGGATCTCTTCTATAGGGCCATTTCCCAGAGTGGCACTTTGGTACCCAGAGCCTTCCTCACCCCCCGCCCACTGAAGGTGGCCAAGGTGGATGTCTCCTCTGCCCCAGGGATCAGCAAGGAGGGGCAGGATGGGGGCACCCTGAACACCTCTTCTCCACAGATGGTTGGCCACCTGGCAGGCTGTAACTGCAACAGCACACAGATTCTGGTAGGCTGCCTGAGAGCATGATCAGGGGCTGAGGTGATGTGTGTGTCTAAGACGATGGTAAGTAAAACTTCCTTCTAGCTCCTTCACCTGGCCACCTGCAAGCCACCCACCTGACCTGATCCCCAGCTGCGCCAGGGACCGTGTATCAGGAGCACAACATTTAGCAAAGATTTTCAAGAGGTGAGGGAGTGAGGAATGTGGACATCTGAGGCTGAGCACCCCAAGTCTGAGTAGCCTAGTCTTCTCTAGCACCTGCCCTCCAAGGGGTAGCCGAACCCCAGATTTTCCCAAGGGACCTATAGCTAAAGAAGCCGCTGGATGTGGACCTGCTGAGTTGGGCACCCTAGGCTGCAGGGATCCTAGGAGAATATGTGGAGGATTGATTGGAAATGCCCCTCCTCTTGTAGATAGTGTGGTTCATGAGCCCTGTGGTGGATAATGTGGTGCTCCCAGAGGACCCTCTGGTGCTCCTGAATTGGGGGCAAGTTGTACCTGTGCCCAGTCTTCTGGGTGTCAACAACCTGGAGTTCAGTTGACTCTTACCTTT